AAGACTAACCCCTAGAGCCTTAGGCCGCTCCCTTTGAACACCCTGTCGCCATGTTTGCTTTCACAGCTTCGCAAGGTTTGGGGTTTAGGGGTTTGGGGTTTAGGGTTTAGGGTTTAGGGTATAGGGGTTTTGGGGTTTAGGGGTTTAGGGGTTTAGGGGTCCGGGGGTTAAGGGTTTAGGGTATAGGGGTAGTTTAGGGTTTAGGGTCGAAGGATGGGTTTTGGGTTTGGGTTTTGGGCTGTATGGAAACAGGCTATGTGTCTACATAGAGGTCCTATAAGGGCTGCATACGGGTTGGGATCGATATGAGAGTTTCCGAATAAGGGGTACCTTATTTTGGGCTCCTTATAATAAGGACCCTACTATTTAGGGTATTGTATTAGGGTCCCCTATTTTCAGAAACCTCCATATGGGGATGATCCAGCTGCAATATTCCAAGTTGGTTGTCCGGTCTCTGCAGCCCTGAACCGTACAGCCGCACAGTCCCAGACCCCTAAACCCTCAACCCTAAACCCTAAACCCTAAACCCTACACCCTAAACCGGAAGCCTAAACTGTAGCAAATCCAGAGCTTCAGGAGCCCAGGGTTCAAGGGTGTTGGGTTCTGGGCACAGGATTTTTCGCTGGCGAGATGCTTGGGCTCAGGGTTTCAGGGTTGAGGGCTGAGCTGACGGTCAACGTTTTGGACTGTGGAGAGTTGGAAATCTGCAGTTTTTGCAAAGTTCTGCTCGGGTTCAGGGCTTCGGGTTTGGGTTTAAGCAATTTCAGTAATTTCAGGCGTTTGTTTCTATGACCGTCTGGTGTGTCTGGAGTTTTCGGTGTAGGCTCTTTGGGCTTTGGGATTAGGGTTGAAGGCGTTTGCTTTCGGATTCCATAGCGAGGCGTTGAGGCTGCGAAGGTGCTTGGAGTTGAGAGCTCACGCTAGCTGCTAGACAGCTGCCGAAGCCAGCTGTACCCTCTAACCAAAACCCTCATTGGTGGCCGTTGAGTGTTTGTGGCTTAGGGTACAAACCGGTTGCCTCCATGTCCCTGCATCCAGGTCTTACAAGCTCCTGCAGATGCTTGGTAGCAGATATGCGCTATGGGTTTCGTCCGTGGGTTCATATGAGACATATGCACAACGTCATGTCGGTTCTACCTGAAGCCTGGGTTCATGTTGCGCATCTTGCTGACAGCCGCTCTAGACCATTGACTGCGATGTGAATGCATGAGCGCGCTTCTGCCAGGGAAGCTTGTCAAACCATTTTGGCAGTCTATGTGCAGTACAGGAAAGGGCTTTGAGGATGTAGGGCCCTTGGGCTTAGATTTTTGGGGTTTAGGGTTTAGGGTGTCGGGTTTAGGGTTTCGGGCTTAGGGCTCAGGGAGAAGGGCCCTTGGTTTCACAGATGTAGCATTGGACGTCTCTTCCTAAACCCTAAACTCTAAACCCTAAACCCTGAACCCTGAACCCTAAACCCTAAACCCTAAACCCTAAACCCTGAACCCTAAACCCTAAACCCTAAACCGTTCGTCGGGGTTGCAGCTCTGGGCGTAGCCCTGCGTAGCCCTGGCAACCGAGGAAGGCTGCCTACTTGCAGGAGACCCTGAGGGCTTAGGGCTTAGGGCCCTTAGGGGTTTTTGGGCTTTAGGGGTTTAGAGTTTAGGGCTTAGGGTTTAGAGTATGGGGTTTAGGGTTTGGGGTTTAGGGTTTAGGGTTTAGAGTGTAGAGTTTAGGGTTTAGGGTTTAGTGTTTAGAGTTTAGGGTTTAGGGTTTAGAGTTTAGGGTTTAGGTTTAGGGCTTGGGGCTTAGGGTTTAGGAGTTTAGGACTTAGGGTTTAGGGCTTAGGGCTGGTGTAAGATTCGGAAGATTCAGCCATGTAATATAGGGGCCTTCATAATTACCTATATTATTTTGGGGGTTCCTGGCTATAATTATACTATACAGGAGCCCCAAACCCTATTCTAATTATTAAGGCCCTTACATGAAGTTGAAACAGCTCAGCAGGAAATTGCACGATCTGGCAAGAAGTATAACCCCCAACCCTAAACCCTAACCCCCCCTAAACCCTAAGCCCCTAAACCCTAAACCCTAAACCCTAAACCCCTAAACCCCTAAACCCCTAAACCCCTACACCCTAAACCCTAAACCCTAAAGCCCCCAACGCTGCATCTGACTGCATGTGCGAACCCCCTTGAGGCCCAGCCCGTCAGATCCGGCCTCGGTTTAGGGGTTTAGGGCTTTAAGGGTTTAGGGGTTCAGGGTTAGGGGTTTCGGGCTTTAAGGCTTTAGGGGTTTAGGGGTTTAGGGCTTTAAAGGTTTAGGGGTTTAGGGCTTTAAAGGTTTAGGGGTTTAGGGCTTTAAAGGTTCAGGGGTTTAGGGTTGAAGGTTTCGCGTTTTCTCAGCCATTTTCTGCAGTAAGGGAGCGTTGCGGGCGTTGATTTCCTCGGTCTGTCTGTTGACTCGTTTGTGTGGCATGTGAGCGCTCACTTCTTTCATAATTTGTCTCAAAACATCTTCTTCTTCTTCTTCATGACTTCTTGCGACTGGTCCCATTGTCATGGCCGTCTTTACCGGTTTTCTCCGTCCCCTCGGACTCGTGTCTCCCTGTGTAGCGTATAAGCCATCACGGCCGTCCCTAGAAGACTTAGGTTGATGGACCCAGTACTACAGTTGATGATAGAAATCCCGCATGACCCATAGGAAGGAGTATACCATACTTCCCATAGTTTAGGGTCCTTAAGGCAATGCCCTAAACCCTAAACCCTGAACCCTAAACCCTAAAAAATGACCCCTAAACCCTAAACCCTTAAGGGTCCTTAAGGTACTGCAGGATTTATATCATCGACAGTATCTCCTTCATCCCCTGGAAACCCTCAACGCCTCAAACTGAGTCAAAGCCAGAAGCCCTGAACCCCAAAACCGGAGTGTAAAGTGCTAATGTAGGGGCCTAAATAATCTGGGTTTAGGGTTTAGGGTTTAACTACCACATTCAATGTTAATATGGGGTTCTTGATAAAAATTATAGTCTACTATACCCCGGAACCCTATTCATGAGGGTCTTTATATTACGCCCAAAGGCCCTGAAGCCAACATCGAAGCTTTGTAGGACCCTTACAGCACCCCTTTTGGAGTCCGTGTGGAGCCCTAAAGTGCTACACCATAGGGGGAGTTCAGGGTTTGGGGTTTAGGGTTTAGGGCATAGAGTTTAGGGTTTGGGGTTTATAATATGGGGGTTTCCGAAAATAGGGGACCCTAATATAGCACCCTAAATAGTAGGATCCCTATTATAAAGGACCCCAATATAAGGTACCCCCAATTTTCGGAAACACCCATATAGGGTTCAGGGGACAGCAGGACATGATGCGCGGAAGAGGCGAGAAGTCCGGCACCAAGGACTTGGCGAATCTGCCACAGGACACGAAAGTAGGCGGCTGCACGGGGAGGGGGGGGGGGGCTGAAGGGGGGCTTGGGGCTTAGGCGGCTTAGGGGGGGGTTTAGGGAGGTTTAGGGGGTTTAGGGGGGTTTGGGCGGGGTGGGGTTTAGAGTTTTAGGTGTCCTTTCAAGGTTCCTGTTAAGGTTCCTTCAAGGGATCCATCAGGGGTTCTCAAGTAGGCGGGGTGTTTGCGTTGTCGGAATGGCATTAGGGCTGTCTGGTTAGTGCTTTCACCATGCGCTTACCACGAGCATACTATCATATACAACCCTCGTGATAGTAATTGTTAGTACTAAGCTAGAAGTGTTGGACATTTTTTCTTGTGGCGCATAAGAGACATCATTACTCTTCCTGTTCCCTTGCTTCTTCACCTGCCTGATATAGGGGCCTTCATAATTAGAATGGGGCTTTGGGGCCCGTTATACTATAATTATAAGAAGGAGCCCCAAAATAGTATTGGTAATTATTAAGGCCCCTATATTGTGGTCCTGTTTGCAACTTGCATGCCGGCACCACCCAAGACCCCATGACAAAATCTTGGGGCTTCCAGATTTGGAATGAGGATCCTTTAGGGGTTCATAGAGGGGCCTCAAGAATTACCTATATTATTTTTTGGGGCTCCTTACTATAATCATACTATAAGGTACCCAAATAGAGGGGCCTCAAGAATTACCTATATTATTTTTGGGAGCTCCTTATTATGATTATACTATAAGGCACCCCAAACCCCTATTCTAAGAATTGAGGCTTCTACATTAGGGTTTTGGATGCAACACATTACCCCAAAGCTATCCGCTAAATCCCAACACCCTCCAACCCTCTTCAGCTTCTGTGAAAGCCTGAAGCAGGCAAGACTGAAGCCTCCACCCGAAATCAAGTTGCGTACGGAGCAGGGATCTAGGTTGCGGCGTAAGGCATAGCTCAGGGTCGCCCAGAACCCCTAAGCCCTTCAGCCTAGACCCTAAGCCCTAAACCCATGAAGCCTAAACCCTAAACCCTAAAACCTTATGTAAGCCCTTAAACCCTAAACCCTAAACCCTAAATGCCCAACCTTAGCAGCCTCCACTCCTAATCCGAAGAAAGGGCAAGGCCGAGTCCTTCCCCGTGGGAAGAAACCACAAAGACACGCTTAGACTGATTCGAATGCTGCTACTACTACTACTACTACTACTACCACCACTACTACTACTAAGAATAAGAATAGGAGTAATCATAATGATCGTAGTAATAATGATGATAGTAATGATACTAATATGAATGATATGATAGTAATACTAACAATAGCAATAAGAATGTTAACAACAACAGCCATACGTAAAGCCCTCGAAGTCATCAAACCGGAGGTATGAGATCGAGAAATCGCCAGCGGAAAGGGGGCTCCATGATCTACAACGAGGAGAAGAAAGGCAGGGGGCAACTTTTGGTTCTAATTTAGAAACCCTAAACCCTAAACCCAATAAGGTTCCTTCTAGTAACCAAAATAGCGTGGCTGGGGTCTGCCGAGGCCATCGCAGCTCAAAAAGAGTTGTGCTATCCAGCACATGGGTAGTTCTCTGAATGAGGGTCCCCTTTAGGGTCCTTTTCAGAAGGGTGCCGTACTATGTTGGGGACCTAAATAGGGACCCGAATTTCGGGAACTACCCATGTGGAAGTCTGAATACTTAATCGGGTTCCGTCCAGAGTTCTTTCTGGGTTTAAAGGTTCCATAAGAGCCCTGGGCTCGAGACTTACCAGGAGTAGGGCTGTTTTCGACAGATCCTCGAGGCATTGTAAGCCGATCATGGAGACTGACCCTCGCTTTTCTGATTTACAACCAGGCGCTCTGGTGGATATCTCAGTTCAGGTCACTTCTCGGGATGCTCAGGCTTCTACGCTGCTTGCTCTTTGGCATAAAGAGGAATGTCGTTGCATAGGCTCCCTTGGCGCCGGAGACTTCTTCACGCTCTACGGGGTACAGTACAAAGGGTTTCTTGGGGCTTCGCATCAGTTGGTTCTACTTACAGGCACGGTGGTAATTCCCAGGACCACACCGACTGCAGAATCATTCCGGTACCTCAAGGAGGTGTGTGCCGGTATAGGAGGTATTTCACTGGGATGTCAGGCCATTGGTGGAACTTGCTTGGCTGTTTCAGATCATAATGGCTTGGCTTGCGCCGCTCTGAGAAAACACTTCGATACCGTGATTGAAGGAGACATTACAAATCGTGGAACGCGTCTGCAACTGCATCAAGTGCAGCCACAGCACTGCAGTGTGATCGGGGCAGCCCTGCCTCGACTCGGCCTTCGCCCCGCCGGCTTTGGGTTTGCTTCGGATTGTTCAGGGTTGGTGGTTCTGCGATCGGTCCTGCAGCTTGCCTGGCATACCAATGCGTGCGCAGTCGTTCTTGAGTGCAACTCAGATGTCTTTTCAAACCCGGCAGCCCTTAAAGAGATTGGTGCCTTTGCTGCCCAGACAGGCTTTCACTGGCTGCAAGTTGAGCTGGACCTTGCCGCACAATGGGCTTCTGCTCGGCTCCGCTGGTGGGTCGTTATATCTCCTGCTGACCCACTTGCCTTGCAACTTGCTCCCTGGCCCACGCTCCGCGACCCGTGGCAGGTGAGGCATGTCATCCCTGCCTGGCCAGTATGGTCTGAGGAGGAGGAACTTGCACTTCAGCTGGATGAACACGAGCTTGCCGCTTTCGAGGATCAGTCCCTCGGCGACGTAGACCGCATGCTGGTTCTGTCTGCCCAGGCACCGCAAGCTCTGCACAGCTGGGGGAATGCCCTTCGTGCATGTCCATGTGGTTGCAGGACTCAGCCCCAAAGCCTGGATGGCATGCAACACTGCGGCCTTAAAGGAGTTTGTGTTATCTCCCAGGTTACCAACCAGAGGCGGCATCCCCACCCGCAGGAGGTAGGTCTGCTGAATGCCTGGCCCCCGCTGCAGCCTCTGCCGGCAGATCCGCGTGCAGCGCTTTGCCTCATCGGCAGGCTTAGCTCACCTCTGCAAGCAATCTGGATTCTGGCCCACCTTCGTGCCTGGGCGGCCAAGCGCCACAACGGTGCTGTACTTGATCCCGGCCAGGAGGTCAGTAGGTATCAGGCATGCATTCTGCAACAGCGCCAGGATAATTGGATCACAGTGCCAATGATGATCGGTGGCGACCTCTCACTCCAAGGCCCTGATGGCCCCACACCTTGGAAGATTTCCGGGCCCATCACAGCAGGCCAGCTTCTTGAAGTTGAAAAGGCCCTTCTGGGCCCAGGATTAAAGGCACAGCTCTTGGATGGCACCCGGGTCCTCCCACTGACCGCTCTGCTGCATCCTCGGCCGGCCGGGCCTTGCTACTTACTTCAGCTGAGCGCGAAAAAGGCCAGGGTTCAGCCATCGCTCACCCCCGAGGCACCTAGTCTGGACGTGAGGCGCAGGCTTTTCCAAGATGACCCCGACCCCAGCAATGCCACCTCCCGTGGAGACTCCGAGGTCTCGGTGGCCCCAAACCTGCCCCAGGAGATTCTAGAGCACTTCCCCAAGCCACCCGTGCAATCTGACACGCAGCTCTGCACCGACACTGCACTGTGGTGTTGCCTTCTTCAAGTGGCCCGGGACTATCCTGAGGTTCCTGTAGCAGTGCTGCCGCCCACGGTTGCGGAAGGGCTGTTGGCGAATTCCAACATTGGCCTGCTTCCCGGTACAGGTGAACATTTTGCCGAGGTCCTGCCAGAGGGCCGCCGAATCTTGGTTCCTTTTGTTGCCACAGGTCACTGGACTTTGCTTGCCTTCTGTGTGGCTGCCAAGTCAGCCCGTGCCCTGGTGTTTGACGGCATCCCTGGCCGCAACTCGAACGTGGCACAGCAGCTTGCCACCACTTTGATCCGGCTGGGAGGTTGCACTTTGGAATCCCTTCAAGAGATTACGGTTTTGCCTCAGGCACTCCCAGGCTCTTGTGGAGTTGTTGCTCTGGCCCACGCGCTTCATTGGCTGTCGGAAGGTGCTCTTGAGGACCCTCTCTACCGGGCTGAATCCATGCTGGCCGCACTTCCTCCCCTGCCCTACAGTCTGGCCGGTCATGGTGGATTGTCTGTTGAGCAGGAAAAGGAGCTAAAGGGCATTTTGACTTCCAAGGGTGTGCCCGGCGAAGCCGTCGATTCCCGTTTGCAGGCTGCGGTTACTAAGATAGGTGCCGGTTCCTTGGCCCAGGCTCTGACACAAAAGAATGTCTGGCAAGCACTCAAGGCGTTAGGGTCCCGCCCGGGGTCCCTCTTCAAGTGGGTGCAGCCTGCAGAGCTGCAGGCCCACATTGAACTACGTGCCCAGACTCGTTATGGTACCGAGGTGGCCCGACCTAAGGCCAAGAAACAGAAGGGGTCCAGGTCAACAACTGCGGCACCACTGCACATTGACCCTAATAGCCTGCAACTGCTCCCCGAGTCCTTTGTTGCCAAGTCGGGCTCACATTTGGGCCAGCTCTCTTTTTCTGAGGTACAGGCCGGTGTCACTGGAATCTGTTTCTGCACGGTCGCACAGGTGGCTCCATTCCTGGCTCAGGCCAAAAACCTCAGTGTTGACGCCCTGGCCTTGATTACAACGGCAACATTAGATACGGATGATTCAGGGCCCTCGCGTGTGTCGCACCTCCGCTTCCCTGCTATCTACTCCCCCACACAGGAAGCCATTCTTGTCACAGGGTCGATGCTGCAACTTGGAGATGATGATGTTGAGCTCGCCAGCGCCAACTCGGTTGAAGTCGATAATCTGCCCACCACGGTAGTTCGGCTGAGCCTCTTCAAGGATGAATGCAAGATCCCTTGGGACAAGCTGGCCGAGGCTCCTGTCCGGACATTGCTTCAGCAGGTTCCTGAGTTCCAGGTATGCCATGGGCGGAGCTGTGATCGTGCCTGTCCCGGCTTCCATGCCGCAGTCGATGAGGAAGTCGAGCATTTGTTTCTAGATGTTTGGGCCAGACAATGGTGCCGGGTTACTGGGGGAAAGGTCAAGGCCGAGGCAGCCGAACTCTTCCAGGTGTTCATTCGTGTACCGGCGTCGGCCCTTCCGCACATGTTTTGCACAGGCCAGCCAGGGCTCTACATAGAGCCGCGGGCCTCAGACGGCAGTGGACCACACAGCTCTTGGGCTGTCGTCTGGCTCCCCGGGGTGTGTGCTGCGCAGGCTCAGCATGCACTCAAGACGACCGAGAAAGCTATTTCTTTGGCCAGGATCGGGCATAAGTACGGGCTTCGCACGAAGGAAGCCGATGAGCAGGCTGTGTTTGAAGCACATCAACGCCACGCTTTGACGCAGCAACTAAAGCAATGGGGTTGGAATGGCAAGCCTCTCCAACCGGACAAGGGCGATGCTCTCGGCAGTGCATGGCTGATTGGCGCTTCGAGCGAGCCCCCACTTCAAGCGCTCCCTTTGGGCTCTGGATTTGTTTTGGCTACTAAGGTCAAGGAGGTAGGTGCTCCCAAGAGCCACACCGCAAGCATCTGCGCCTCAAATCGCACTCGCAAGGCGTTGCTTCTTGATGATGATCATGATGAAGCTCCTGATCGCCCCGACCCTTGGGCAGAAGGCCGGGATCCATGGTCTGCTGCCAGACAGCCGCCAGCCGCTGTCAGCTCGTCTTCGTCCGAGGCCGTCACAAAGATTGCTCAGGTTGAGGCCGGTCTCCGCCATGATCTTCAGGAACTTGTGCAACAAAAATTTGCCGAAAGGGATGCCACAAGCCCTCCGCCCGGACTTTCTGATCAAGACAAGCGCCTGCATGCTCTTGAGACATCAGTCTGTGAGATGAAACATCAGAGCACCAAGTTTGAATCCTGGTTCCAGGGATTCGGTACCAAGGTCGCCGATCAGGCGAAACAAATCGAAGCCCTCAGTTCCACAGTGCAGGAGCAAAAGAGTGAGTTGGGCCGAATCCGCACCGATGTTCAGGCCACCGTGCACTCCGCGGCCTCGTCCCTGCAATCCGAACTGTCGCAACAGATGGCCTGCCAGTTAACGGCACAGATGGAGCAAATCCAGGCGCTCTTCTCGGACAAAAAGCCGCGCCACTGACTAGGTCGCACCGGCCGTTCTTTTGGGCATAGGAACGGGCCGTCTGCTTTTGGATGCCCGCCACTTCGTCTCTTTTTCTTAGTTTTGCAGTGCCTTGCTGGCTTCTTCTGCACACCCTTTGGCCTTGCGGTCTCGACTTTCGGAGCTTGGGTCAGCCCGACAGTCGCTGCCTCGCATGCCCCGTTCCATGAGGTCCAGCGTTTCGGCGAAGCCCGTCACCCTGGGCCAGCATGTGATTTCTTCATCAGCACGAGCAATCCTACCGGGCTTCGCTCCAAGGAGAGCCATTACTCCGACTTGGGTTTCGGAGTGCACTGCTTCGCTGAGACACAGCTTTCGGCGGTCTCTCTTTCGGGATGCGCCCAA